TTTTTTTTTTGAGACAGAGTCTCCCTCTGTTGTCCAGGCTAGAGTGAGTGCCTTGGCATCAGCCTGGCTCACAGCAACCTCAAACTCCTGGGCTCAAGCAATCCTGCTGCCTTAGCCCCCCGAGTAGCTGGGACTACAGGCATGTGCCACCATGCCCGGCTAATTTTTTCTATAAGTTGGCCAATTAATTTCTTTCTATTTATAGTAGAGACGGGGTCTCCGCTCTTGCTCAGGCTGGTTTCAAACTCCTGACCTCAAGCGATCCACCCGCCTCAGCCTCCCAGAGTGCTAGGATGACAGGGGTGAGCCACCTCGCCAGCCCAGCCATTATTTCTTCAAGTTTTTTTCCTGCTCCTTTCTTTTTCTTCTCTTCTGGTGTTCTCATTAAGCATATGTTGGATCACTTAATGGTGTGTCATGATTTGTCTGAGACTGTATTCTTTTTTTCCTCTGTGTTCTTCAGATTGTGTTAATCTCTATTGATCTACTAATTCTTCAATTCAAATCTGTTGAGCGCTTCTAGTGAATTTTGCATTTCAGTTATTGTACTTTTTAGCTCCAAGATTTATATTTTCTTTTTATTATAATTTCTATCTCTGTTTAATGAGACAGTGTTGTTATACCTTTTACTTCTTCGAGCATTTAGTTCTTTAAACATATTTATAATTGCTATATTGAAATCTTCGTTAAAGCTGACATTGGTCACTGTCCCAGGCAGTTTCTGTTAATCAGCTGTGTTTTTTTCCTGTGTGAGGGTCAGAGTTTTCTTTGGATGTCTCAATTTTTTGTTAGAAACTAGATGTCTTAGAACAGTGGTCCCCAACCATTTGGCACCATTTTGACCAGTTTCATGGAAGACAATTTTTCCACGGACCAGAGTCAGGGCAGTTTTGGTATGATTCAAACACATTTATTGTGCAGTGAAACCTTTCTGCTAATGATTGTATTTGCAACGGCTCCCCAGCGTGAGCACACCAGCACCAGTACCCCTGCCTCAGCTCCACCTCAGATCATCAGGCAGTATATTCTGGTAAGGCGCGCGCAACCTAGATCCCTCACGTGTGCAGTTTACAGTAGGGTCCGTGCTCCTGTGAGACGCTACTGCAGCTGATGATCTGACAGGAGCCGGAGCTTATGCAGTGATGCCGGCAATGGGGAGCAGCTGTCAATACAGAGGAATCTTCACTGGCTCTCCCACCGCTCGCCTCCTGCTGTGTGGCCTGGCCCCTAATAGGCCAGGAACCGGACTGGTCCACTGGTCCACGGCCCAGGGTTAGAGACTGCAGTCTTAGAAAATATGTTGTGGCTCAGGGTACTTAGGGTACTGGTCTGTCCCTCCCTGACCCAGGGTCTTGCCTGTTTGTTTAGTGACTAGCCAGATTCTTTTAGTGACGCCTCTTTTGTCTCACACAGCGTGAAGCGCTGATGTTGAGCCTTGGCCAGGGAAGCCAGGGGCATGTGCACAGTCACCCTGGGATGACAGTGGTTTTGGCAGGACTCTCTCTGATCCCAGAACACACTCAGCTGTTAAACTCCACTAATTGCTGGCTGACTGCTCTATTGTTTTCAACAATGTCTTGGGGCATAAATTGTTTGCCGGTCTGATCCAATTAAATTTGGGCTACTTTACAGGGGATGGTTTTGAGGTTATTCTCTGAGATTTATTCTGAACCCAGGGATGCAGTCTTGGTTGTTTTACTGGTTCTCTCTGGTAATTTAGCTGACCTGTGGTTTAGCTTATATCACTATCTGATCTATCTGTCTCCTTTTAATTTCTTTTCTCCACACCCTCCATTGTTTTGGGAGAGTATTTTTGGTTTGTTTTTTTGAGACAGAACCTCTCTCTGTTGCACGGGCTAGAGTGCCATGGCTTCAGCCTGGCTCACAGCAAACTCAGACTCCTGGGCTCAAGTGATCCTGCCTCAGCCTCCTGAGTAGCTGGGACTACAGGCATGCGCCACCATGCCCGGCTAATTTTTTTTTTTTTTTTGTATATATATATATATATATATATTTTTTTTTTAGCATTTGTCCTCACACTCGATGTATATATATTTTTAGTTGGTCAATTAATTTATTTCTATTTTTGGTAGAGACGGGGTCTCGCTCAGGCTGGTTTCGAACTCCTGACCTTGAGCAATCCACCCGCCTCGGCCTCCCAAAGTGCTAGGATTACAGGCGTGAGCCACCACGCCCGGCCTGGAGCTCACTCTTTTAAGACCCAGCTCTATCACTGGGCCAAATCTCTGAGCCAGAGCTGTATGGATGGGACAGCGGAGTGCTTCACTTAGAGTGACTCTGCTGCTTTAGGAGAGAAGAACCGGGAGGTGCGGTGGGCTACAGCCTCGCTGTTGCTTTGCCTCTCCTGGCATGGGACTTCCACTTATAAACAAGCCAGAGCCCAGGGCTCTGTGGGCCCCAGGATTCTTTGTTTGCCATGCCCAAGGCCAAGCTTCCATTCCATGTGTGGGGGCTGGTTAGGAGACATGAGCCATTACCTCTTAGCTGTACTTGCTGAGAACTTAGCCTCAGCAGCAGGTAGGTGGGGGCAGGGTAAGAAACGCTGACATCCTGCTCTTCCTGGAAAGATGCTGTAGCCCTCTGCTGAGAGCTGGCTGGAGTGGGCAGGCCCGTCGTCTTGGCTATACCACCTTGAGCGGAGTTTCCATCACCCTGAGCTGGATGAGGCAGGGAGGCAACAAGTCATGTTTCAAACACCACGACTCTCGTTTTTCTTTTGGGTTTTAGTAACTTTTCCTCATTAAATATTTCTTCATTCACCATATATCCTTCAAAACATTTCCAGAGACTTAAATGCTTATTTTTTTTTTTTTTTTTTTTAGTTTCACTAGGTAGTGGGTCCATGCTGAAAGGTGCTGGTGTCCCCCTCCCCAACCCAGGATCTTGTTACTATATTTGCTTGTCTATTTGATTAGTGACTGCCATGCTAGAAATCTATCGTCTCTAATATTTAGAAAGCCTTTTTAGCCTTAATTCCAAAAATCTGATAAAGATTACGTAGATTCGTTTATTATTAAAGATATAAGGCCAGGTATGGTGGTTCACGCCTGCAATCCCAGCACTTCCGGAGGTGAGCCAAGGTGGGAGGGTTGCTTGAGGTCAGGAGTTTGAGACCAACCTAAGTAACAGTGAGATCCTGTCTCTACAAAAGAGTAAAAAATATTAGCCGGGTGTGGTGGCATGCACCTGTAGTCCAAGCTACTCAGGAGGTTGAGGCAGGAAGATTGCTTGAGCCCAGGAATTCAAGGTTACAGTGAGCTCTGATCATTCCACTATACTCCAGCCTGGGCAAGAGAAAGACATAAAACTGCTAAATAAAATATTAGTAATTATCAATCTAGAAGTGATTCATATGTATAGTTGTAAGTGGGGCTTGTTTCTGGAATGTAAGGATGGTTCGATAAGAAATCTAATTTTGGGCTGGGCATGGTGGCTCACTCCTGTAATCCTAGAACTCTGGGAGGCCGAGGTGGGTGGATCGCTCAAGGTCAGGAGTTACAGAGCAGCCTGAGCAAGGGCGAGACCCTGTCTCTACTAAAAATAGAAAGAAATTAATTGGCCAACTAAAAACATATAGAAAAAATTAGCCCAGCGTGGTGGCGCTTGCCTGTAGTCCCAGCTACTGGGGAGGTTGAGGCAGGAGGATCGCTTGAGGCCAGGAATTTGAGGTTGCTGTTAGCTAGCCTGACGCCACGGCACTCACTCTAGCCTGGGCAACAGAGTGAGACTCTGTCTCAAAAAAAAAAAAAAAAAAAAAAGGAAATCTAATTCTGCTTTTGACCAGGTGGTGCGGTGGCTCATGCCTGTGTTCCCAGTGAGCTATGAGCTTGCTACTCACTACACTCCAGGCTTGGTAACAGAGCAAATCCATATTTAACACACCCACAAAGAAATCTAGCTACATATTATTGGTATAAAATACTGTATATAAACACTGTCTTTATGTGCAAATGTGGTTATGTTCTTAAAAAGCTGAATGATTCCAGCAAAATTCTCCTAGAATTAATAGAATATTAAAGTTTTATACTACATTATAGAATTAAGTCTAATAGTAGCCAAGAAGATTATACAAAGGGCAGTAGTACTGAGGTTCAGGGATTTGCTTCAGCAGATATTAAAACTTAAGACAAAGCCACTGTATTTAAAAACAAAGAAGTCATATTGACACTGTAATAAAACAGTGGAACCAGAATAGTCTACCAAAAGATCCCAGTATGTTTCAGAACTTAATATTTGTTAAAATTGGTACATACAGATCCCTTATCTGAAATGTTAGGACCAGATGTTTCTGAATTAATTTTTGGGTTTCAGAAAGACATTATGTTAAAAATACTGACCTCTCCAGCAGGATCTGGGAAAATGCCTGGTTATTGAATCAATCATTCTTCAAGTGACTTGCATAAGTAGGGTAAATTAAAATGGCATACAAATGTAATTGTCATTTCATTTTTTGCCACAAAATGAGTTTTTGGGGAAAACGTTAGTTTTCTAGAGCCTTTTGGATTTCAGATTTATAGATAAGGGATTATAGAGGTATATGCTGATTTAGTAGGAAAATAGTGGTTTATTTGATAAATTTCTGGAAAGTTAGACCCTCTGCCTCAATACCATAAACAGGTTGAGTATCCCTCATCTGAAAGTCTGAATTTTGGATTTTTGGAGTAGGGCTGCCCAGCTGGTAAGTATAATGTAAATATTCCAAAATGCGAAATCCAAAACGCTTCTGCTCCCGAGCATGGTGGATACCAAATCTCAATCTGTATTAAATTGTAGAAATTTTAAATGTGAAAAATCAAGATTTGAAAATATTTAGAAGAGTGTTTACCTTGAGCAAGCCAGGAAACCCAAAGGCCAGAAAGGAGTTGACCTCATAGAAACACTAGGCACGCAGCCCCGTCTACATGCCAGAGTGCTAGAGTCGCTGGTGGGCAGGGAGTGCCAAGGGAGGCAGCACACATTCTTTTCTCTTTCATCCACAGTAGAAACACCCAGCAGTGTGAGAACAGCCAGTGTTCTTGGGCAGGCAAGAGGACCGGTTCATTGATTTAATGCAGGTGGAGGAAGCATGACTTGCAAACTTTTTGCTGAGTAATTGGGCACTATCACCTTGGGGAACCTGTCTGGTTAGAATTAAAAACACTGACATGGAAACATAAGCGTATTCTGGTGGTGTTTGGTTATTGTTGCGAAAATCTGGAAACAATGTAAACGTGCCTCAGTTGGTAGAATGTGTGGTGTATCCATCTGGGCATCTGTAGGGGAGGATAATGTGTTGGCAAGTGAGAAAGAGTTGCTGAGGAACGGGTCTGTAGTAGTGTCTTAATTGTGTATCTTTAACTTAGCATGCATGAGGTCTTTTAATACTTTCCCCCAGTCATAGAAAAAAACGTGTAAAGAAATAAATGAAGGCAGAGGAAAGAGCCAGTGAGATGGCTTTCAGAAACATGCAAATACAGTTGGCTGGGGCTCAGTAGGGTTCCTGGCAATGGGCTCTCCCACCTCAGCAAAAATAGCTTTGTCATCCTCTCTCTGCTTAAGGTTTTATAATGATGAACGTGAGATTTGCCTGTACTCCACCACTGAGCAAGTGACCCAGCATGTTGGTGTAAATCCTTCCAGCCAAAATGGCTCTAGAACACTACACAGCCCGCCCCATCACATACCTTTCTTACTGTGCCAGTAGAGAGATGAGTCTGATTTTAAGGGGTTGCTTGGTGTTCTTTTGAATGTACGATTTATTTAACCACTTCTCCACTGAAGAGCATTTAGGTGCTTTCCTGTTTTTCACCACTACAAGCAGTGTGCGTGTATATTTCCAATTCTTAAATTTGGGATAAGTTCTGGGAAGGAATTAGATAGATTTTTATTCTTGATAACATTCTATCAAACTTTCTAAAAAGTATGTAAACAGTTGACCCACCAAGCAGAGAAGTGTCTCTTCAGCCTTGCTTTACTGAGAATAATTCTTCATCCTCGGAACCCTGTGGGTTAAAAGGACATATATCATTTAATCATACTGTGAGACATTTGCATTCCTACTTTTAGACCTTCCTGCTGACTGCAAAGTGCCCTTTGCTTGTTGGGGCAGCTGGCTCCTTGCACACTTGGCACTTGGTAGGTTCTTAATGTGTTCGGTTTGTAGTTTTTATGTAAGCAAACCGGATTTCTGCAGTACAGCCGTCAGGATAACAGATCTGTATTTTTAATCAATCACATACAGTAAGTATGGTGTGGAAGGATAGGGCATTCGGACAAGAATCAGATCAGGTTGTGGTTCCATTCGTTGGCCCGCAGGTATGGGGGTCCCCTTTGATCTGGCGGGGTGGGGGTGGGGGCTTGCAGGGCACCCCGAGCAGCCTCTCCAGCCCCTTCTGCCCTGTCCGCAGCTCATGATGGAGCAGTCCAAGAAGTCCTCGCTCATGGTGGCCCGCAGTATCCTCAACAACAAGCTCATCAGCAAGAAGCTCGAACGCTACCTGAAGGTGAGGTGCAGGCCCCAGCCATGCCCGTCCCCAGCCTCATCCCGCACGGAACCCCACTTTCAGTGTCCGCCTCCCTTCCCGCAGGGCGAGAACCCTTTCACCGACAGCCCGGAGGAGGAGAAGGAGCAGGAGGAGGCGGAGGGCGGCGCCCTGGACGAGGGAGTGCAGGCCGAAGCGGCAGGCGTCGCGGAGGGTGCGGAGGGCGCGCCGGCGCAGCCCCCAGTCCCCCCAGAGCCGGCCCCCGGGGCCATGTCGCCACCGCCGCCGCCCCCGGAGGAGGAGGAGGATGCCGTGCCCCTGCTGGGAGGGGCGCTTCAGCGCCAGATCCGCGGCATCCCGGGCCTGGACGTGGAGGACGACGACGAGGAGGGCGGCGGGGGCGCTCCGTGACTCGGGCCGGGGGCGGGCGGGGCCCGTGTGGCGGAGGCTGGACGCCGAGCTTAATAAAGTTCTTCCCACCCTCCTCGGTAGCCAGTCGGTGTGCGGCGCGGGCGGGGCGGCCGGGAGCCGGGAGGGGTGCGGCGCGCCTGCGCACGGGCGGGCGGGCTGGGCCCTGGGCTCGGCCGCGGCGCTCGAGACGCTGCGGACGCCACTCTGCGCGAGAAGGGCTGGCCGGGGGGCCGGGGGCGGGTCCTCCCTGAGGTCAGCCAATGGCAGCGCGCGGAGGCAGTGACGTGTGCGCCTGGTCTTCCAGTAGCGGGCGGCGGGAGGTGCGTTGAACGCATGCGTCCCGTGGCAACCTAGAAAAGGGGGCTGCTGGCGGGCCGCGGAGACATGGAGCAGGGTTACGGAGGTGTGTGTCCGCTGCTCGGCGCGGGGGGGCGGGGAGGGCTCGTGCGGGCGGTACGGCCGCCGCCAGGCGGAGGCTGCGGGCCGGGGCCTCCGTCCCGAGCGCGGTCGCCGCAGGCCGGCCCTGCGGAGAGGCGGCCGCGCGCGCGCGCCGCTCATTGGGCCTCGGCGCCGTCGTTCCCGGGGAGCCGCGTGCGGATTGGCCGGCGGGCCGGAGGCGGGCGGGCTCGCGGCGGCGCCGCGGCGGTTCGGGGCGCCTCGGCCGGCCGGACCGTTTTCGCCCGCGGCCGGCGCGCCGTGCCGGCCCGGGCGGTCGCGTTCGCAGCCCGCCTTCCTCTTCCGCGGCCGCCACAAAATGGCGGCGGGGGAGCACGGCGGGGCGCGGGGCCGGCCGGGCGGGGGCTCGCGGCGGTCGGGCTGCGGCCCGGCCCGCCCTCGGGCTGCGGCGGGGCCTCTGCCGGCTCCTCGGGGCCCGGGGCGCCCGGCCGGGGCTGTCCTGGCGGCCCCTTCGCCGCGGGGCTTGGCCGCCCGGGCGCCCCCTGCGCGTGAGGCCGGGCGCGGAGCGAGACGCCCGAGGCCAAGCCCGAGAGTCGGGTGGCGCAGAGCCGGAAACGCGGTGCGCCCGGCCGCTCTGCGAGGGCCCGGGCCTTTCCCCGCTTGCCGCCGTCGGACCGGCCTCTGCGGGCTACCTGCCCGCAGCCTCTGGACTCAGCCTCCCGGGAGGCCCCTGCTCTGTGCCGGAGGCCACGTTTGCCCACCGACGACGGCGGGGACGCGCGGCCGGGGCCCGTTGGGGTGCGGAGGCCAGGGAAGGCTCAGGTCCCGGGCGGCGGCGGGGATTGCGGGAGCAAGAGGCCCCAAGGTGAGGGCACGTGGGGTGTGCGTTGGGCGTCAGCTGGGTCCCAGGGGAGGCGCCACCTGCCTCTCCGCGGCTTGGGCAGTGTGGGCCACCCCGTTCTTTGGCCGCCCTCGCGGGGGGTCTTCCTGCAGGCACTCCATTCCTTTTTTAGGCCCATGGTTTGGAGAGTTTTCCCCCACCCCGAAAACCTTTCAGATTCAGTGAAGACACTGCAGCCTCTGACTTTTCTGTCCCAGGGCGTTTTGAGGTTATTTGAATAGTGTGCGCCACTCAGAGCCCGGAGTCTTTCAGAGAAGCAGTCGGCGCGGTGGGTTTGGCCGGGTGCTGTTAGAATCTGCACGCTGCAGGGCCGTGGAAGGCTGGGTAGTGTCACAGGGAGGGGTGGGCGTAGGTAGCCTGTAGAGGTGAGCAGAGGGGGAACCCTGGATCAAGTCCCCTAACTTCTGAGCCTTCGCTGCCTTGTCTCTGAAGAGCAAGCGTGGGGGACAGCAGCGTTTGCCAAGTGCCTGCCGTGTGTTGGCACACGTTAGGCGCTCAGCTAGTGGCGGGTGTTGTTCCGGTAAGGGGTGCAAGAATGTATTCATCAAAGTGAGATCACTTTTCATCAAAGTGACAGGCGTGAGTGGCCTCTTGTGCCCAGCTCCGTGCTGGGCTCCAGGGACACAGAAATGGAGAGAACACAGTTCCCACGCTCTCCTGCCTGGGAGGCCAGACAGGTGCTGCCGTGGGTGGGGTATCTTGAGTGAGGAGTGTCGTCTGATGCTGCTGTTGGCCGGGGAAGCCCGGGGACGCCCGGGGACTCGAAGGCCGGAGGAAGTGAGGCCTAAGGAGGAGCAATTTATGTCACCCAAGTTCGTCTCCAGTTTCAGGGTGCTGGCGGTGGTCTGAGCGGGTTTCCCAGCCACGTAGTGGCTGGGTCAGACAGGGTGGGGGACCGTGCCTTAATGCTGCGTGGCCTGTCCTGGGTCATCATCAGTTGTAGGTCGAGGCTTGGAGGGGTGGCTCCACCAGGGGCTCACCGCGGGCAGAGCTGGCTTCCAAGCCCGCTCCCTTCCCCCCTTCTCTCTTCTGCTTTGGCCTCAGCCGAAGGGTAGAGTGCGGGGATGCAGTCAGCTGGCCGTGGGGTGGCTTTTATAGGGGGACGGTGTCATGGTTACGCTGTCTTGTCCACGGCTAGCACCAGACTCCCGCAAGGAGGCGTTTTTACAGGTGGGATCTTAACTCACAGGACCTTCTCTTCACAGGCTACGGGGCGTGGAGCGCGGGACCTGCCAGCACCCAGGGTGAGTGGGCCCTGCCTCGCGGGCGAGGTGAGGGCCAAGTCTCCCCCACCCCAGGCTGAACCTCCTGCTCCTTGGAGTAAATGGAAGTAGCAGGCCAGGGGTCAGCAAACCTTTTCTGTAAAGGGTCAGATGGCAAATGTCCTTGGCTCTGTGGGCTCCACAGTGTCTAGCACAAAAGCAGCCGTAGGCATGTTGAAGAGTGGACGTGGCCGTGTGCCCGCAGCTACTCATGGGCACGGAAATTTGGAAACCATGATTTTTGCATGTGGTGAAATACTTTGATTTTGGTAAAATATTTTTATTCTTTTATTCTAAGTAAATAGCTGGGGATGTCATCAAACGTTTTTCTTTGCTATGATTAATAGGCCGCTTTTCAGTGCAGCTGTAGATTTACAGGATTTGCCTGATGGTAGTAAGAGTTCTGTGCGCCCACCCCACCTCCGCCCCAGCAGTTTTTTCTTTTATTCGGATCTTGCATTGGTGTGATACATTGTTGTTACAATTAGTAAGCCAGTGCGGATAGATAATAACCATAGTCCATGGTTTACGTTAATATTCACATTCACTTTGTGTCATATAGTTCTGAGTTTTAACAGAAGTCTAAGTGGTGCGTCTGATGTCAAAATTCATCTGTCATCAATTATTCTTTGGAATTTTTTCCCTACAACCATTTAAAAAAATGTAAAATCCATTCTTAGCTCAAGGGCTATAAGGAAACAGGCAACGGGCTAGATAGATTTGGCCCGGGGCTTTTTGCTGGCCCCGCTCTGAGTCTGGGCCGTGGGGCTGAGCGTGTCTGGAGGACCGGAAGGTGCTCTCCCGTGCAGGGGCACCGCGGGGCGGGCTTGCTCTTCTCCCCATCGCAGGCGTCCCAGGAGGGGCTTTCCCGTCCCTCGTGGCTCGTCACATCCCTCGCTCAGTTGAGTTGAGGACGTGACCTCCCACCAGTGCCTTCCCCGCAGCTGGCAGCACCTGGGCGCGCTGGCCCTTCACAAGGGCCCTGCCTGCAGCCCTGGCCCGGCTGGCGTCTGGGCTGGCCAGCAGGCGGCCCTCGCTGCACGGGCGTCCTCTCCCCTGCCCCATTGGGGGCGGGGCGTCAGGCTTGCCTGGGGGAGCGGTTTTGGCTTTGCTCAGCCAGGCCTTCTGCGGGGGGCTCGATAACAGGCAGCCGAGGGCGCGTCCCTGAGCCGCCACCCGGGCTGTGGACAGGGGAGGGAGGTGACAGCCGGCCCTTAGCGGGGCGGTGTCGGGCGCCTCCGTTCCGCACGCTGAGCTGTCGTGTGTTTCTGTTTCCCCCAAGGCGCATACGGGACCGGTGTGGCCAGCTGGCAAGGTGAGCCCCTCCGTGCGCCCGCGGGTGGGCAGCCCCGTGGGTTGGGACGCAGGCCCCCGTCCTCCGCCCTGGCCGTGCGCGCATGCTCTCCTGAAGGCCGGCTGACGGGGAGGTTTGGCGCGGATTCCCTGGCTCTGTGGCCGAGGACACGGCTGGCCGGGGCTGCTGTTCGCAGCTCACAGTGCTGGGGGGGGCCGGGGCCAGGCCGGCCTCGAGGGGGCTTGCTGGACAGGGTTGGGGCCGAGCGGCGGCCCCGTGTGGGGTCTGTGGACAGCCCCAACTGCCACGCCTGGGCTCTTGGCGACCTCTGGCTTTGCGCGGAAGCAAGTCCCAGGGTCTGGCACAGAACGGCTGCCGCCCAGTGCGGAGGCTGCCCTTCCCGTTGCCTCCCGGCAGGCCCCGAGCACAGCACTAGGTGGCGGCAGCGGTGCTCGGTCCCACGGCCCTCCTCCTCCTCTGTGGGTGGCGGGCGCTTCTCTCCTGAGCCCTCCGCCACGCCCGGGTCTCGTGGCTGCGCAGGTCTGACTCGGCCCCCCTCCGTGCGACAGGTTATGAAAACTACAATTACTATGGCACCCAGAATACCAGCGTTGCCACGGGAGCAGCCTATGGCTATGGCCCAGCCTCCTGGGAGGCCGGCAAGGCCAACGATGGCGGCCTGGCAGCAGGGGGTCCTGCTGTGCACATGGCCACTTTCGGCCCGGAGCCCTGCGCCGACAGTTCCGACTCCCTCATCGCCAAGATCAACCAGCGCTTGGACATGATGTCCAAGGAAGGAGGCAGGGGCGGCGGCGGGGAGGGCGTGCAGGACCGGGAGAGGTGACTATGGGCCCACGCCCTTCCCCTGGGACCCTGCGTGCCTGCCCTGGTGCCTTTGGGGGTGGGCGCCCGTCCGTCTGGGAGGGTTCCGAGAGTGGCGTGGATGAGTGGGGCCGCCGAGGGCGTCACAGGACTGTGGCGGGGCCTGGCGTGTGGCCGGCGGCTCAGCCGCCCCCGGCCGCTCCTGTGGTCGGGTCCAGGCCCCTGCTCGGCAGCGTGCAGAGGAGGGGTGGGGCCGCTTTGCTTCCTGAGCACGTAGGTGGGCGCGGGAGGCTCAGTTTGCTGTTCAGAATGTAGGGAGGCGTCCGGGCTGTCCCCGGGGCTGTACCCAGGGGATGCAGAGGTGGGCGTCCGGGCTGTACCCAGGGGACGCAGAGGTGGGTGGCCAGGGCGGCCTGGGCCCCGCCCCCGCCGACGGGCCGCTCTTCCTTCGCAGCTCCTTCCGCTTCCAGCCATTCGAGTCCTACGACTCGAGGCCGTGCCTGCCCGAGCACCACCCCTACCGCCCCGGCTACAGCTACGACTACGACTTCGACCCGGGCTCCGAGCGCAACGGCAGCTTCGGCGGGCAGTACAGCGACGGCCGGGACCCCGTGCGTGAGCGGGGCTCCCTGGATGGCTTCATGCGGGGCCGGGGCCAGGGCCGCTTCCAAGACCGCGGCAACCCCAGCGGCTTCATGCGCAGCGACCCCTTCCTGCCGCCCTCGGCCTCCTCGGAGCCCCTGTCTGCCCCCTGGAACGAGCTGAACTACGCGGGCGGCCGGGGCCTGGGCGGCCCCTCCCCGAGCCGGCCGCCCCCGTCCCTCTTCTCCCAGTCCATGGCTCCCGACTACGGCGGCGTGATGGGCATGCAGGGGGCGGGCAGCTACGACAGCTCGGTGCCTTATGGATGCGGCCGGTCGCAGGCCCGGATGCGGGATCGGGATTGGGACCACCGGGTAAGCGCTCAGGGAGTCAGGTGGGGCGACTCTGCTTTTCTTTGTGACAGCTTTGTTGAGGTAAAAGTTCTGCCACCGCGAGATTCGGTCACGTGTAAGTGTGGGATTTGGCTTTACTAAGTCTGCAAACTCTTGCAGCCATCGCCATCACCACGGGTTCATTTTAGGGCGTTTCTGTCAAACCAAAAAGAAATCTCTGCCGATTAGTAATTCCCCGTTCCCGCCCAGCAAACCCTGGCGACCAGTCTGCTTTCTGCGTCTGGGGGCTTGCCTGTTGTGGACATTTCGTACAAATGGAGTCACACGGCACGTGGCTCTTGTGTCTGGCTGCTTTTCACTTAGCATGATGTTGCCTTTCAATTCCACACACATTCTTTGGTGGTTTTTTTCATTATTGTTTTTTTTAGACAGAGTCTTGCTCTGTTGCCTGGGCTAGAGTGAGTGCTGTGGCGTCAGCCTCGCTCACAGCAGCCTCAAACTCCTGGGCTCAAGCGATCCTCCTGCCTCAGCCTCCCGAGTAGCTGGTACCACAGGCACGCGCCACCATGCCCGGCTGATTTTTTCTATATATTTTTAGTTGGCCAGTTAATTTCTTTCTATTTTTAGTAGAGACGGGGTCTCGCTCTTGCTCAGGCTGGTTTCAAACTCCTGACCTCGAGCAATCACCGCGCCCGGCCTCTCTGTTTTTTGAAGAGACGTTTTCTGCCTATGTTCTCTGGTCTTCGTTTCTGTGGGGTGTCTTAGCAGTCTGGGTAAGTGGTACATGAGATGTGCTTGTGTCCGTAGCCCAGGAGGAGAGGGTTTGACCGCTTCGGACCAGACGGCATGGGCAGGAAACGGAAGCAGTTTCAGATTTACGAGGAGCCGGACGCCAAACTGGCCCGGGCTGACAGTGAAGGGGATTTTTCTGAAAACGGTATGCCCTGGGGCCCGGCGGGGCCGCTGGGTGTGCGGCGGTCAGCTGCCCGCCCGGGACTTGGCCCGCCCCGTCCGTCCCGCGGGCACTCGAGGGCGGCCCGTTTGAGCCCTGCCCCCTCGCCCCCGCCGTGGCCAGGACAGACGGGCACTCTGGTCAGTGAGCTGGGGAGGGCAGAACGGGTCGGGGCCGCCCTCCAGGGCCTGACCTCTCCTATTCCTTTGTGTCGGCAGATGACGGAGCTGGCGACTTCCGGTCAGGAGATGAAGAATTCAGGGGTGTAAGTCCACCCGTTACCTGTCACGCCCCCAGCCCTCTGTGTCTAGCGTGGGGTTTCTTCCTTCCTCAGTCGTTCTTCCTCACAGAGGGCCGGGAAGAACCGCCCGGTAGACTCAACTCTACCTCTGGGTGGATTTTTTTCTTTTAGAGACAGGGTCTTGCTCTCTTGCCCAGGCTGGAGTGCCGTGGCCTTGTCACAGCTCACTGCGGCTTTAAACTCCTGGGCTCCAGCGATCCTCCTGCCTCAGCCTCCCGAGTAGCTGGGACCACAGGCACGCCCCACCGTGCCAGCTAATTTAAGTTTTTTCGTAGAGACTTTCGTTTTAAGTTTTCCTTATGTTGCCCAGGCTGATCTCAAACTCCTGGCCTCAAGCAGTCCTCCTGCTTCGGCCTCCCAAAGCATTGGGGTTGCTGGCGTGAGCCACAGCAGCTGGCCCTCCGAGTGGGTTTAGTGCCTGGACTTGTCGCTCGGCTGCTGGGAGTTTCCCGCTTGCGACAGTCATTGCCTTTCTGGAGAAGCCGCCTGCCCCTCTCCCAGCCGCTGCTGTGTGTGTCAGCGCGGCGGGCCTGGCTGCCAGGCTGCCGAGCACAAGGCCGTGGGCGGAGGCTGCCAGACGCTGGGGGCGCGCTTGCCGCCCGCCCCGAGCGGGTGCTAAGGACCCGCGTCCTTCCACCCTCACGCGAGGCCCGGGAGAGCAGCGTGTGAGGCTGGTTCCGAGCCAGGGCCTTTGCCGCCCGGAGCAGACGGCCGCCCGAGTGCCAGGGCCGTGGGGGGCTTCCTCTAGGTGACAGCCGGGGAGCAGGCAGGGAACGGCGGGCCTTAGCTTTTCTGAGAGTCGCCTGTTCCCTCCTGGGCTGCTCAGGTCTCGAGTCCGGGGGCCCCTGCAGGTCTGGCCTCGCTTCCTAGCCCTGGCGCGCGGGCCCGGCTGCACAGCGGCTTCTGCAGACACCCAGCCAGATGAGCCTTTTTTCTTTCCTTTTTTTGAGTCAGCGTTCTCACTCTTCTTCCTGGGCTAGAGTGCCGTGGCGTCATCACAGCTCACAGCAACCTCAGACTCCTGGGCTCAGGCGATCCTCCTGCCTCAGCCTCCTGAGCAGCTGGGACTACAGGCATGCGCCACCATGCCCGCCTCATTTTTTCTATGTAGTTGGCCAATTAATTTCTTTCTGTTTTTAGTAGAGACGGGGTCTCGCTCTTGCTCAGGCTGGTTTCGAACTCCTGACCTTGAGCGATCCGCCTGCCTCGGCCTCCCAGAGTGCTGGGGATGACAGGCGTGAGCCACCCCGCACCTGGCCCAGATGAGTCATTTTTCTCTATCGCTGGTTTGTTAAAATGCTGGGTAAATATAAACCGATGCTCGAGAAACTTGGCGAAGCCCATTTTGAACGAAGATCGCAGGAGCTAGCAGCCCGAGGGTCAGGATCCCTTGCCCTGCAGTTGGCCAGTGGGCTCTTCCATGCAGGGGCCTTTGCTGCAGGGCAGGCGGTTCTGCAGCTCTAGAACGAACCGAAAGAGGGTGACTTTAAAATAAAAGAGTTGTCACGAGGGAATCTGGGAAGGCAGCCGGGAGTGGCGAACAGAGCACGCAGGCTTATCCCACGGCGCCAGGCTGGTGCTGGCGCAGTGTGGCGCGTGTCTTGGAGGCGCGGTGTCCTGGGTCCAGGGCGAGACCGCCCAGTGGGCAGTGGCAGGGAGCTGGGCTGCTTGTGGGGCATTCCGGAATCCGCCTCACCACCCCACTTTGCATGTGCCCTTTTCCAGGAGGACGAATTCTGCGACTCCGGCAGGCAGAGAGGTAGGCATGGCCTGGCGCCCCTCGCAGTGTCCCCGCGTCCGCCGGCCACCCCGCGCTCATGGCCCAGCTCCCGGCTGGGGGCTTCGATGGTCGGTCCGACCGCTCAGGGCAGAGGAGGAGCCGTGGTCACCATGGTCGGGCCTTGGCCACGGCGCTCGCCCCCGGCCTTGCTTCCAAGCGTCTGGGGTGCCATTTGCCAGAAGCGGGTCCGTGTGCCTCGCTCGGTGCGGGCTGCGGACAGAGGCGGCAGCCCGACTGTGGGTGTCCGCGACAGCTCCAGGCGGGAGGGGAGGGAGAGTCTCAGGAACAGAGAGGAGCCCCCGCCAGCCCACGCCCTGCGCTCCTCCCAGGCCAGGCCCCTGCACGGTTCTCTCCTGGGCTTCATTCTGTCCAGTCCCCTCAGCTGCCCACCCAGGGACACCGGCAGCCTGCGGCGCCCAAACGTGGGGGACAGAGAACGGGAATATGCTGGGGGCTGTCAGGTGCACCGGGCCCCCAGAGCTGCAGGTGGCGGCCACTGCTCAGCAGTGCTTGTCGTTCCCAGCTCAGGAGACCTGGGGGTCCCAAGGAAGCGGCAGACAGTGGTGCCACCCTTTAGCGGGCCGTGGAAGAGTGGCCTGAGGTGCAGGGGCCAGGGGTCCTGAGCCCCCCCGGAAGCCACCACCCGTCTCTTCCCGTTCCCGCGGGTCTGTCCGTAGCTGGCTGCCACGAGGACCGCACGCTGCCTCCTCCGCGGCTCTGCTCCCTCCCGCCCCACGGCTTTCGGCGCAGATGCTCCTTCTCTTGTGTTTCCAGGCTTAGGCGGCCCCTGCGGCCCCACCCCATGTCCCGAAGCAGTCCTGCCCGTAGCACGGGGCCACCCCGAGCATTTAGAGCATTTAGCGGCTCGTGCGGCGGGGCAGGCGCTAAAGCAAAGGTGACGTGTCTGTTGCGCGCAGGTCCTGCTGCCCGCCCGCCCGGGAGGACTGTGCTATTAAACAGCAGTCATAGTTTCAGGCAGTGACCTCTTGCCAAAAACCCCACACGCCCTTTTGAGAGGCTTCTGAGCAGCGCACTCCGGTCGCCATCTTCGTGGGACAGTCTCGGGACTGGCACCAGGGGTAGGGGTTACAGTTCAGATGCTTCTCCGACCTCTTTGCAGCGTCCGGCCCTGGCCTGAGCCTTGGGGACCACCGGCCCGGCCTCACGCTGGGTCGCCGGCCGCACGGCGCTGGAGGCGCCCTTGCGCTGGCCCCGGGGCACGGACGCACGGACGGGGGACCAGCCGGTCTCTTCCCACCTTTGCTTCCAGGATTGCTCCCCACGCAGCCCTGGGAAAGCCGTAGACTGACGGCCTCTGTGAGCGGAAGGCAGAGGCCGGGCCAGCAGGGACTGTCAGACCTGCTGGGCCTCGCTGAGCTGGGGCGGGCGAGACGCCCGCTTCGCTCCCGCTGCTGCCTTTACCTGGGGAGAGTCGCCTTCTCTCTCGAGGGACGCTGGGAGAGGACCCCGCCGCAGGGCGCGGGCCGGACGAGCAGGACCCTTGGCGCGGTGCGCGTGGGACGGGCAGGCCACGTATCCCGCCCGTCCCGGCCTTCCCAGGCCGGTGGGGGAGCGAGGTGGCTCCTCCGGGCTCTCAGTCAAGCCCGTGCCTGTCGGGAGCCTGTGGCGGTGCCCGGGTGCCCCGACCCTGCCTCGAGGCGGAGGCGGCAGCCGAGCCGCGGCGCCAGTGAGGCCCAGGAGCTCGGCTCCCCCGAGGTCCCTCAGGGCAGCTCGAAGGAACTTGTCTGTTACAGGAGAGAGGGAGGAGGAGGACGAGGAGGTGAAGAAGAGAAGAGAAAAGCAACGCAGGAGAGACCGGATGCGCGACCGCGCCGCCGACAGGTGAGGCCTGGGCACCGCAGGCTCTGTCCTGGCTCCCCGAGGCAGCCCGTGTGATCCGCCCAGGCACCGCTCGGGCGCTGGAGCCCCGTCCCACAGGAGCCCGGACACGCCCAGCAGGGGGCTCTCGTCCCCCGGCAGGCCTGAGGGTGTCCCGTCCCCCGGCTGGGTGTCTGGCCCCCCAGACAGGTGACCCGCATTCAGCGCTCTGGGTACCGTGCTCGTCCCGAGCAGCCCCGAGCGTGCCTTGGCGGCAGGTCTGCACGTAGGGAGGCGGCCCCGCCCTCCAGACTGCGTTCTGTCATGGCCGGGGTTGTCGGCGTGAGCACGCCACACGATGCAGTGACCAGGTGGCTTCTGTCTGGAGGTGGGCCTCCCCGGTGACCACGTGAGCACCTGGGGAGTCCTCGGCCTGAGGGTTCGGGTGGGACCCTGAGTTTCCTGTGCCAAGGAATGCCAAGCGGCGCGGACGCTCGTCGAAACCCTTGTCTTTAAACAGACGAGCGAGGGGTAGAGTAGACCTGTTTTCATGCCACGTGGGAATCGAGATGACGTTTTTCCAAAGAAACATTCGGGCTCTGCACTGGTGACCAAGGACCCGGAAGGGACTTAGAGGAGTGGCTGCCGGGGAGGTAGCGGTGCGGCAGGGAGGCCCTGGCGGCCTGGGCACGGGACCTGGCAGGCTGTCGTCTTCACTCTTGTCGGGGGCGTCCGCGCAAGTGTCCCGTGGGGCTCAGCAGTTAGGAAGTCAGCCGGCGGCGTCGGGGAGCCGGCAGAAGTGCGGTCAGCGGGAGGAACCCCGAGGGCCTGCACCCTCACCCCAGGAGGGCCGCAGCCTCGAGGGCAGAGCCAGGGAGAGAGCGCCCCGCTGCGGAGACCTGGGGGTTGCAGGCCACTCCTCACTGTGCAGCAGGGTTGCGTTTGCTGCAGCTTTGACGGCAATGGGACAAAGGAGCCTGACGTCTCGAGTGTATGTTAGAGATTTGACGGGGCGGGTCTTCACGTTGAGCCCCCTGGGCCAGCCGGTCTCAGGGTATGTTAGTTTGGGATCGTGCAAGGTCTTCGGGCGTTCTCTCCTCACCTACAGCAAGGCTACCTGGCGTCGTCCCACTGGCTGCAGAGACGCTGTGGGGTCGGCACTGGGCCCCCGGCCCCCAGGGCAGTCTGCCGGAGCTTAGGGACTCACGCTGTTCTTTTTTATTTTTTGAGACAAGATCTCACTCTGTTGCCCAGGCTAGAGTGCCGTGGCGTCAGCCTAGCTCACAGCAACCTCAGACTCCTGGGCTCAAGCAATCCTCCTGCCTCAGCCTCCCTAGTAGCTGGGACTACAGGCATGCGCCACCATGCCTGGCTGATTTTTTATGTATATTTTTAGTTGGTCAATTCATTTCTTTCTATTTTTAGTAGAGATGGGGTCTCGCTCTTGCTCAGGCTAGTCTTGGACTCCTGAGCTCAAGTGATCCTCCCGCCTCGGCCTCCCCGAGTGCTGGGATTACAGGTGTGCGCCACCGCGCCCGGCCAGGAATCCACAGTTCTGAACCAGTTTAGGGTGTTTTCTCAGGGCCCTTGGGGATGTCAGGAGATTGCCGTATGAGTCGGTTTCCAGAATATTTGCAAGGCTGCGCTCCTGTTCTTCAGCCGGGGACGCCCGGGGAGGAGGCGGAGGCCTCGGTTCAGAAGCTGCTTTCCCGTTCGCTTTCCGGCCCTGCCCAGAGATCGCCGATCCTCCCGCCTCACCGCTCTCCTCATCTTCCTTCCCCAGGATCCAGTTTGCCTGCTCCGTGTGCAAGTTCCGGAGCTTCGACGACGAAGAGATCCAGAAGCATCTGCAGAGCAAGTTCCACAAGGAGACGCTGCGGTTCATAAGCACCAAGCTGCCCGACAAGACGGTGGAGTTCCTCCAGGTGCGGGTCCCCGGCCGGCCGGCCCGGCAGTTCCCGGTGATCCCGCGGGCGCCACGCCCCTCACGGAGGGCGGAAAGCGAAGGGAGGTGGAGGCCTGAGTTTGGTCAAGCTTCCTTTTCCCAGAACAAAACGGCCGTGCAAGTCCCCGGGTCACGGAGGGACAGTCGGGTGCGCCCCCGAGCCGCTCCGGCAGCCGCGTCCCCACGAGTGGCGCGGCCGGCCTGCCGGCTGACGCGCGCCCACCCTCCAGGAGTACATCGTGAACAGGAACAAGAAGATCGAGAAGCGGCGCCAGGAGCTGACGGAGAAGGAGAGCGCGAGACCGAAACCCGACCCTTTCAAAGGTGCGTCGCCAGAGTCGCCAGAGCCTCGCTCGCCGCAGGGAGGGCGCCCAGAGGGCGCGTGGGCGCCGTCGGGGCGGGAGGGAGGCGTCACCTGCTGTCCCAGGTCCCACAAGGCTGGGCTGTGTGTCGCGGCAGGGATCGGCCAGGAGCACTTCTTCAAGCGCATCGAGGCCGCGCACTGCCTGGCCTGCGACATGCTCATCCCGGCGCAGCAGCAGCTGCTCCAGCGGCACCTGCACTCGGCCGACCACAACCACAACCGCAGGGTGAGTCCCCTGCGGCGACACCCGGGGGGTGCGGCTCGTCAGGTCTGCCTCTGCCGCGCCCGCCCGCCGGGTGTGAAGTTCATCTCGAGTTCTGTTGAAACGTGAGAAAACGTGTTGCTCGGGCTTGATCAGACACAGCGCCGGAGCGGCTCCCGGTTGGAGAACGGTCCCCGGGAGCCACGCGGGCAAGCCCCCGTCGCTAAGAGTCTGTGAGCTGAGGCGGAGGGCCCCCACGCTGAGTGGCCGGCCGGGGAAGGGGGCAACACCCGGGCTGAGGAGCCGCTTCGGCCCTTGCTAGCAGCTGGGGCCTGAGGCTGGGTCTTCAGCCCGGAGGTCCGCGGTGTGCTGTGTAAAGCCAGAGAGGAAGTAGTTTCGGCTTTGCAGGCCACGGGTCTCTGGCCGGTGGCAAGACTGTGCCGCAGGTGCACAAGAGCAGCCACTGACAGCAACGGGTAGGTGGGCTGTAGGTTGCTGGCCCCGGGTTTAGCATCTCAACCCTTAGTCGACCAAAGTGTTAAACGGAAACACCGAGAAACGCCCGCCCTTCTCACGGCGCCGATGGGCTGCGGAGCGGCGCCCGGACGGGAGTAGTCTCGCGGGAGCGGCCACGCTGTGCGGCACTCAGACGCTGACACACTCGTGCTTTCGCTTTTGGGCTTTTTCATTACGAAGCCAGCATAACCGCAAACCCGAAAGGGAAGAGCTCGCCCTGTTCCCCTGCTCAGTCCCCGTAGCTCCTCCCCTGCAGGTGTTCTTTCGTCCTTTGGGATCATCAGGCCCTTCCCCTTGGCTCTGCGGCCTCGGTCGCAGAGTCTCTCTGTGTGCTGCCTTCTCCTCTCGTCCTTAAAGCCCCACCTCTGGCTCCCTTTGCAGTTGGCTGCTGAGCAGTTTAAGAAAACAAGCCTCCACGTGGCCAAGAGCGTTCTGAACAACAGGCACATAGTGAAGATGCTGGAAAAATACCTCAAGGTTTGTGCGGGGGAGTCAGCGGGCGGGGAGAGCTTCTGAAACACAGGGGCAACCCTGAGCACGCACTGTCCTCGGGGGACAGCACTTCGCAAGTCTGAGTCTTCTGACCACTTGGGGGACGTTGAAACGTGTCAGGCTTGCGGAACGTGATGGCCAGGGTTTATTTTAATTTTTTATTTTGTCGCCCAGGCTAGAGTAAGTGCTGTGGCGTCAGCCTCGTTCACAGCAACCTCAATCTCCTGGGCTCAAGCAATCCTCCTGCCTCAGCCTCCCGAGTAGCTGGGACTACAGGCATGCGCCACCATGCCCGGCTAATCTTTTCTATATATGTTAGTTGGCCAATTAATTTCTTTCTGTTTTTAGTAGAGACGGGGTCTCGCTCTTGCTCAGGCTGGTTTCGAACTCCTGACCTTGAGCAATCCGCCCACCTTGGCCTCCCAGAGTGCTGGGATCACAGGCGTGAGCCACCACGCCAGCCACGGCTAGGGCTTTCCTCCCTGGCTGCCTGCCTGCCGGGGCTGTGGGGATTAACCGGCGTGCCGTGTGACACGCTCACCAGAGAAACCCTGATCGTCTAGCTGTGCGATGCTGACTAGGTGACACATGCTTTTATGAAAAAACCGCCAGGCGCAATGGCACGTGCCTGTAGTCCCAGCTACTCGGGAGGCTGAGGCGGGAGGATCGCGTGAGCCCAGGAGTCGGAGGCTGCAGTGAGCTGTGATCATGCCACTGCATTCCAGTCTGGGTGACTCATCTCAAAAAAAAAAAAACCAACGAAACGGTGCCGACTGTTCCTGGTGAGGCTTTTCCAGACGATCTTGCCTGCGTCTGTCGGCTCTGGGAGCCTTGGGGACTACCTCACCTGGTCTGGTTGCAACGTTTCAGCCCCGGGCCCCCCCTGAGCTGGGGTTAGGCCGCGCTGACCTGTGTTTCCTCCTGGGCCAGGGCGAGGACCCTTTCGCCAGTGAAACCGCCGACCCAGACGCGGAAGGCGACGACAACTTAGCAGGCGAGGAGAAGGGAGAGACGCCCGAGGAGGTGGCTGCGGAAGTCCTGGCCGAGGTGATCGCGGCCGCAGTGCAGGCCGTGGACGGGGAACGAGGGCCCGCCGCGGGGGGAGGCCCGGAGGACACAGCCGCGCCCGCCGACAGCAGCAGCGACCTCCAGGCTGAGCGGCCTCCGGAGGCCGGGACGCCCTGTTGTGAGGCGGCGTCTGGGAAGGGGACCACCGAGGCCGGGGGTGAGGCCCAGACCGGGAGTGAGGCCCAGGCCGGGGGTGAGGCCCAGGCTGGGAGTGAGGCCCAGGCCCGGAGTGAAGCCGAGACCGGGAGTGAGGCTGAGGCCAGGAGTGAGGCCGAGGCTCCGGTGGCCGAGGCAGAAAACACGGGCACAGCGGTGGTGGCGGCTCCAGCGGCCGCAGAGGCTGAAGCGGAACAAACAGACGTGGAATCCAAGGACGCAGTTCCCGCAGAGTGACCCCCACTGCCCTGTCGCAGGGACCTTTGCTTTTCCTCCTCCGGTTTGTGGGCGGTGCGGGCGTGTCTTGCTGGAACGTGCGTAGACCAGCTGGGGAAGAGCCGCCACCTCCGTGCAGTCGCCATCTCCGTGCAGTCGGCGCTTCCCGCCTGGGGTTCCAAGCTGCGGAGGCCGCACATTCCCCCAGGCAGCTGCGACAGTCTCGCCTCCCTGCACTGCAGTTGGAATGATAATAAAGACTGGGTGATTAGGTCTTGACGGTATTATACTTTGCTTGTTAGATACAGCCCGCAGGCTGAATGCCTATTTTTATTTTTAATTTTTTGGTGGTTTATTTTGTTTTTTTGATTGGGAACAGCTCAACAGTAGGAATGTATTTTGCTTTATAAAGGATTTTCTTTTTTGCTTTTAAGTTTCGAGCATTTGCTTTGGCTTCGGTTTTTGGCCTCTGCTATTTGCAGCGCCCCGTGTGGCCCGCGACCCTCGCGCGGCGCGGCGGCCTCGTCAGCACGGGTGCTGGCCCCTCGCGTCCGTGAGCTGCCGGGGTCTGGCGGGTCCGGCCGACCCGCACCACTGGGAGTTCCCCACTGACCCTCGGAACGAGGCGACTCCGAGTAGGGCATCCCCCCAATCTTCAGTCCTTGGCGAATCGCTTTTTATCGTATTTTACCTCATTTTGTGTTCCGCCTCCAGATTACTTGAGGTTTTCGTTTTTCTTTGAGTTATTCCCACTTAAATGTATTTAAAAGAAAGCCTGGCGGTCACCGCCATAGATGGAGAACCGTCGTGAGTTGCCACGGGTGGAGGCGACCTGTGGAAGGGCGGCGTGGGGGACAGACGCGCTTCGTCGCAGATAAGTGCTGTCCTCAGGCGGCCGCGTCTGAGGAGGGTGGCCCTGCGCGGCCACTTCCAGGGGACCAGACGACCTGCAAGATCTCTTGTGAATCGGTCCCGCTGTCTGTTTTCCTGGCAGCCTCTGAGCTGTGCACGTCTCACGCTTTGGGAGGTCTGGGCCAGTGGGAGATGCCTAGGACAGAGGCGGCAAAACATTCAAGGGGCATCTACCGTGCGCCAGGTGCTACCCCGCGGGAAACTCCCGGCACAGGGCGCTGTTCTCGAGAAACCGGACTGGAGTGGCGAGGTGAATATAGACGAAGTCACTGTTAGAACAATAAATTGCTCCATGAGGAAACGGTGCCTGTGAGTCATTTCTGCTCACCCTTCCTCAGAGCGGCGGGACCTAGCTTGGTCGCGGGGCGAGCGCCCCTCGGAGGCATGTTCCCCCAGGCGAACGCGTCGCCTGGAAGAGAACGACACTCCTGCAGAAGTGCTCTTTTTGACGGTGGTTTGTTTCGTTCGTTTTGGGTTTTATTCCTAAAAATAATCCAAGGCCTGTCATTAGGTCAATCGAAACCTCAGTGAGGCTCTTCTGCCCCCTCCAACCCATGTGCACGGATCATTTTGTTCCGTGGTGGGGTGAAGTCTAGCCCTCGCCCCCAAGATGGAGAGTGTTGCCGCGGTTGCGCAAAAGGGATGCCCTGGTATTTCCTGAAATGACGACAGTGAATTGCACGCTGCCTCATTTGAGGCAGGGGAGCTCCCATCTGTCAGTTGTCTGCCCCATTTGCAGAGGAGAATCCTTGAAGGGGGCTAAGTCAACTTAAGGGTCACATGTCAAAGAAGCAAAGATGTGGGGTCACCAGATTAACATGCAGGTCCACGAGGCCAGTGGCCATGAACTCTCCATAGGACACCTAATTTATTATCTGACCGCTCCAGCACGGCGCTCACCGGCCGCGACACCTTGCCCACAGCCGGCACGCACAGTCCGCACAACAGTTTGTGCTGGGCGTTGGCGATGAATCCGTTTTGCTCTTGTGTGATGGGGAAAGCTTGGAAGCACTGAGAGCTTGTTTTACTTTACAGCAGCTTTACTCGTAACGTCAATCAGAATAGGTAACACATACATACATGTTTTCATTATGTTATTTTTAAATGTTCACAATTTTATTTTGATACATGAAAAATTAGAAAAGTCACATCACGGCTGTCGGCTAAAGTCGACACTCGGCTGTCCACCTTCACACCACGGCTAAAGTCGCTGAGCGCGTTCATCTGTGGCTGCTGACTATACTCCACGCTGGTACTGAAGTGGTTAGAAACAAGTGTGGCAACCCCTGCTAAAATTCCCATGCAAGAAATCATAATGGCAGCCTGATCTCAACTTCACGTTAATCATGTCACCTATGTGTGATTTCATTAGGTTTTCATGGAATTGGTATAGTTGCTAAAGGGTAAACAATGCAATAAGCAAAGTGCTCATTTAAAGTATACACAGTCACTGGTATTATTAAATCCTCTCCAGTTAGATTTGGGACCCTAAAGGAAAAATTGTCGCTGCCCGATAACTCAAAGTGGTCCTTGCCCACGAGCAGTGCTGCCCATGGTGATTAGAATAGCAAAGTTCTAGAAGAGCCTTTTCACATTTGCTTTTTTATAATAGCTTCCTGGAGGGTTCAATAAAAACATGGACAGAATGGATTTTTTAAAATGGGTGTGACTTTGCACTGATGGAACACTAAAGGAGGCTCTTCAAAAACTGATAAACTCACTGAGGGACATAGTCTTCCACAAGGACACAGGCCTAGGAGGGTAGGTGATTATCTGCAATCAGACGTACAGTCTATCCACCGCCTGTGAAAACACTACTTGTTGAGGGTACACATTTTTATTTATTTAGAGACAAGTCTGGTGCCTGGGCTAGAGTGCTGTGGCGTCAGCCTCGCTCACAGCAACCTCAGACTCCTGGGGCCAAGCAATCCTCCCGCCCCAGCCTCCTGAGTAGCTGGGCCTACAGGCATGCGCCACCATGCCTGGCTCATTTTTTCTATATATGTTAGTTGGTCAATTAATTTCTTTCTATTTTTAGTAGAGACGGGGTTTTCTATGTATTTTTAGTTGGCCAATTACTTTCTATTTTTAGTAGAGAAAGGGTCTTGCTCTTGCTCAGGCTGCTTTCGAACTCCTCACTTTGAGCGATCTTCCCGCCTCAGCCTCCCAGAGTGCTAGGATTACAGGTGAAGGTGGTTTGAACACTTGGGATTGGCAGAAACTGTGATTAGTACCAGAGCAGGTTGCAGCAGCCTGTTTACACATCCAATTAAGTTATGGTTCAGTATGTACAGAGAAACCTTTAGGCTGAACTTAAAATATGTGAAAGGCGGCTTTATGCCAAATTTAAAATTAACACTGGTTCCGGGACATTTTCATCATGCCAAAAGGAAACTCCACACCTGTTAGCAGTCACTCCCCATTTCGCCTCCCCTCAATCCCTGACAACCGCTGACCTGCTTTCTGTGCCCGGATTACCTCCCTATTCCGGATATTTCATATAAAGGGAAGCACATGATGTATGACCTTTTCAGTCTAGCTTGCACTCAGCATAGTGTTTTTGAGCTCCTTCAGGTTGTAGCATACATCAGGCTTCGTTTCTTTGTATGGCTGAATAATATTCCACTGTATGTATAGGCTACATTTTGTTTATACATGCATCTGGTTAATAAGGATCCTTTCTACCTTTGGACTATTGTGCATCGTGCTGCTAGGAAATTTAAGTATTGGGGTACCTGTTTTCAGTCCTTTGGCGTATATACTTAGGCATGCAATTTCTGGGTGATGTAGTCGTTCTATGTTTCATTTTTTGAAGAACCACTAAACATTCATTCATTCATTTATTTACAGGGTCTCTCTCTGTTGCCCGGGCTAGAGTGCCGTGGCATCAGCCTAGTTCACAGCAACCTCAAACTCCTGGGCTCAAGTGATCCTCCTGCCTCAGCCTCCCAAGTAGCTGGGACTACAGGCATATGCCACCATGCCCAGCTCATTTTTTCTATATATTTTTAGTTGTCCAGCTAATTTCTTTCTTTCTTTTTTTTTTTTTTTAGTAAAGACGGGGTCTCACTCTTGCTTAGGCTGGTATCAAACTCCTGACCTTGAGCGATCTTCCCGCCTCAGCCTCCCAGAGTGCTGGGATGACAGGCGTGGAGCCACCATGCCTGGCCAATACTTCTTTTTAAAGTATTTTTACACCCTCGTAATCTTTCCCCTGTCAATCCCACTGAGTCTCTGTGGAAGACCATTTGTTCCCACCGATACTACATAATTCCAGCCAATCCACGTAAGCTGGATTCTCTGAATGAAGAACGTAAAGTACACAACATATTTTGGGGGGAGTCTAAGCCCGCGGTGAGTTGCAGGTCAACAAGCTGTTATCGCCCGCGGGACCCGGGCACTGTGGGTGCCCGGACCGCCGTGTCCTCACCAGCAACCTACGCACGGCTGCCCACGCCACACAAACCCGAACCTGCCCTGTGGGAAATGCTTGGGGAATTTAAATTTTCACGCGCATACGAAGATTTAGGAACGTTTCTCTAAATAGGGGTAATGGAGAGATCAGAAATGCATGCAAATTTTTTTCTTATTTGCTTCCAGGAAATTTTCTCTGAAAGAAGTGCTATGTCCTCATTGGGGATGGGGCCCCATGGGACAAAGACTAACTTCAGGGTAACAGGGAGTGCACATGTGAAAATTCTCTGCTACAATGGCCCCACAGAGGAAAACTGTAGCCTCCTTAGAGAGACCGAAGTACTCGATTCCTCCCCGTCGGAGGACAGCGAGAATGACGATACCGATTACCCGCGCACTGAGATCATGACGGTCCCCGCAGTGTTTGAGACACACTTTGAATCAACAACGGCAAAACCAGAGGGAGCTACATGGAGAAGGAAGAATTTGCCTGCCGGCAGAATTATGCTTTCACTGGGAGAAGGGGATATCTGTTTCCAGGATGGATGTTGTTAGTTTCTAGTGCTGTCTCAGAAATTATTCCAAAAGTTAGTGGCGGCCGGCCGCGGTGGCTCACACCTGTCATCCTAGCACTCTGGGAGGCTGAGGCAGGCAGACTGCTCAAGGTCAGGAGAGTTCAAAACCAGCCTGAGCAAGAGCAAGACTCCGTCTCTACTAAAAATAGAAATTAATTGGCCAACTAATACATATAGAAAAAATTAGCCAGACATGGTGGCGCATGCCTGTAGTCCCAGCTACTTGGGAGGCTGAGGC